TTCTCAGTTGTGCCATATGGCTTTATTCGAGAAAAAACTTCCAAGTCATTGGACTTCTGCTCAAAAAGTCCAATGTCCTTTGTTTGCTGTCCTTTTTATTTTGTCCTGACTGTAGACTGATTTTGTAGCTTCACATTAAGAAGCCAATGTCTTGTTCAGTTCCTAAACTGGATAGTCACCAAATTAAAAAAAAAATATATATTAAAAATGGTTACAACTGTCCCACCGCAGGGCTGTGTTACTCATGAATGCCCACACCTTTCCATATGGTGGACCGATTCCTTTCCAGTGGCTGGTGTCATACATCTATTCAATGTTAATAACACGCATATGTCTTCTACCTTCAGGGTGAACTGTTTGTTTTGCCTGGCATCTTCCCCCTCTTTCTCTTACTCTTTTTGTTGGGTGCTGCATAAATAGTCAATAAAGCAGTTGGCTGTTCATGAAGGACTTTTTGCGAGTAGCCACACGTGCAGCTTGCATCCTTTTCCGTGGATGGGAATCCATTTGTGTCACTCTCAAAACTTAATAGGAGGCAAGACGTAGATGACAAGGGCAACTAAAATATGTGGTAGGGGTTGTTTCGTTTGGAGGTTTTGCATATTCAGTACACAGTAGCTGGTAAATTCCCAACCTGATAGAGAACACCAGCACTCCAGCACACTTTCTAATGGTATTGGGAAGTATTTTTAAAAAGTACTCTGTAAATTTCCTGCAATTTGAACCTCTGTGTGACTATTAACTGTTTCCTGTTGTCCTGCCACTCAGTATGTTCAAAACATTAAGGAAGAGCTAAGGTTCTCCGAAACTACCTCTTAGCTGGCTGCCTGAGCAAAGTCCATGCTTGTGTAAAGCAGAATACGTAAAGTGGTGTGAAAGCGTCACTCTAAACCAAACTATTTCTGCTTTCTGTCTCTTAGAGCTGGAAACTGGTAGGAATGCTTCGCAAGCTCTGGGAATGTTGGTGTAGTTATATTGGAGTCTGTACAAAGCTGGACCATAACACCTTAGTAGAATTGTTACTGGTGTTGAAAGTGGTCCCATCATGTCACATCCAAGCAGTTCAGGTGAAGAGGGTCCTGTGTGCCTTGAGGAGGTTTGGTGTTCTTTATCAGCACTGTATTGTGAGGTGGAAACAGAACTTTCATAACTGCTCTGTTACCTGTGGTACTGTGAGCAGTCAGGGAAAGTCACTACTGAAAAATTACTTATATCAAGTTTGGAGCACTAAACTTCTGTCCTTTTCCTGCCACAACCCTGCATACATCCCAGAACTGCTGTGTTTTAAGATAGCAGATAAACAATGTAGAGCACCGTAGAAGATCAGCCTTCAAACAAAACTGTTTTCAGCTTCAGCTGTATGATGATGTCTGATGTTGTTAGGTTTCCCAACTGAGTACGTACTCCAGCTGGCCGACCCTAGTGCTTTGGGTGATGATAAACTGCTTTCACAACAAGTGAGCACAATTAACTGGACATCTTGCATTGCATCTGAAGCACAGGGGCAGATGGAGTGCATTTCCCATGGTCTGTCCCTCCCGTCACATCTGAGTGTTGACACCTATGACTATGTGAAAAGTGATTGTTAAGTGATTGTTAAAAGCTGCTGGAATGAAAGCTGCTTTATTTATTTATTTTCAAATAATCTCACTGGCTGTGTGCAGCATTCACTCTGCTTTTGGTGCAGCTATTCTGCTATGATAACCAATTGATTCAGCAAATCCTTTTACCATGTGCTTTGTCATGGTTTAACCCCAGCTGGCAACTAAGCCCCACACAGGTGCTCGCTCACTCACCCCTGGTGGGATGGGGGAGAGCATCAGAAGGGTAAAAGTGACAAAACTTGTAGGCTGAGATATAGACAGTTTAATAGAGAAATCAAAAGCTATGCACACAAGCAAAGCAAAACAAGGAATTCCTTTGCTGCTTCCCATGGGCAGGCAGATGTTCAGCCATCTCCAGGAAAGCAGGGCTCCCTCAGGTGTAACGGTGACTTGGGAAGACAAGCGCAATCACTCTGGATGTCCTCCCCCCTTGCTGCTTCTTCCCCAGCTTTATATGCTGAGCATGACACCATATGGTCTGGAATATCCCTTTGGTCAGTTGGGGTCAGCTGTCCCAGCTGTGTCCCCTCCCAACTCCTGTGCACCCCCAGCCTACTCGCTGGTGGGGTACCCTACTCAGTGGGGTGAAGAGGCCTTGACTCTGTGTGAGCGCCGCTCAGCAGTAACAAAAACATCCCTGTGTTACCAACACTGTTTCCAGCACAAATCCAAAACATAGCCCCATACTAGCTACTGTGAAAATAGTTAATTCTGTCCCATCCAAAATCAGCACAGTTTATATTCTTGTCAGCGTGTTCAGGTTTATTTGGCACATACTAATTGCACCCAGGTTTAGTGTATTATTGACCTTTAAAGCTCTGCTGAATCATGGGCTGTGTCTGTGTCGCTGTCTCTGCCTTTATTTTGATGTAACTCCATGCACTAGAACAAGCTTGGGGGAAGTGTTGCTTAAGGGATCACATCAGATCACATCAGGGAGGAAAGCAAATGCTACTGAACAAAGGCATGTTTGATCCTGGATTGAAGAAGGCTGTAAAAGCCTTTTTAGACTTCATCCTGACCTCTGGCTCAGGTACTCTTAATATAGATGAAATCTGAGAAGCACCCAGAGCCTCAGGTTGAGTAGTGTCATAGATGGTCTTTTATACTTGCGGTGTTTTCCAGAAATAATTTTCTAAAGAATAATGCCAGTATTGAACTGTTAATTTTGGAGTAGTAACTGCTAATGCTGGGTTGCTCACCCGTTGTGTTTGGAACTCCCCTTGACCTGGTATTTAGAATATAAAGTTATTTTAAGCTTCAGCAAAATTGTAGAAGCAACCGTGTCAAGCCTGCGTGTCCCCTGTTGCTCTTTTTGTTTGTGGTGTATGAAGGGGGAACCCTTTTGATCATCTTAGTAGTCAGATACCAGTAATTCTCTGAAGCCCAATTCAGCAAGCCTGTCTCATATTAACTTCCATATCCTGAAAACAGCTAAGTTATTTGAGAGCCACCTACACAGCTCTCAATTACACATGTTTCTGATGATGTGTCTCGGTGGCTTAACCATAGTACCATACTGTGTATTGAAATTAGTAAAACAAGAGTGTTTCAAACCTAATTCTACATATAAAAGAAGACTGAGTCTTGTTCGTCCATATGCTGCTCTAATAGCAGCTTTTTGGGTTCCCAAAAAAGGCAACCAGGTGCTCTGGAGAGAGCTGCCTAGAGAAAACATCCTGGCACCAGCCCTACCAGACTGATTCTGGCGATTGCCACAGTGCGGTCAGCTCCAGGTACAACTGCTGCAGGTTCTCAGGAAACTACTTATCAAACATGATGGGCTTTTTCTTCTTGTTAGCCCACTCTTAGAAACCAAGGGCTCAGGGCTTGGGTGAGTGGGGAATTGCTTGGGTTTTTTTTCCCCCCTGAATGTTGAGGGCTAAAACTTAACTGAGGAAGAACCTCCTCTGCACATTCTTCCTCTTCTCCCTCCCTAAACAAACACTGCATTTCAGGAAAATAGCAGGAGCTGGCAGTGCCATTCTTCAGGTTACCCAGCGGGACCTCAAATGTGTGGATCTGAAGTTAGCATCAAGCACAATAGTGCTGTGGATGCTGAAAGTATAAATTACTTTACCCAAAAAAGGGATGCGTGTGATAAAGATCTTTCATTTTCATTCTGCCATCTGGTTCCGACTCCTGAATCTCTAGATACTGTGCAGTGTTTCATGAAGTCAGCTAATGATTTGCCTTTGAGCGTTGAGGTCAATCCACAGTACTTCTCTTGGAGGGTTGCGGACTAATTTAGATCAGCAAATTAAGTGTCCAAGTGTTCATGAGACCTTGATGGGGAGCGGTGAGGAGATGGCAGGCTTTAAAAGCTCTTTAGTCTTCCTCAGCCCCTGAGTGCACAGAAACGTAACGCATTTGCACATTGCTCGAGCATGACACTTTCGTATTTCACAGTTGCAGAAATCATCTTTATAAATAACCAGCTGTTATACAACAGGGAACGATTTCTGGAGAAGGCTCCAGGGTGATCTTACAGCAGCCTTCCAGTACCTAAAGGGGGCCTACAGGAAAGCTGGAGAGGGACTTTTGACAAGGGCGTGTAGTGACAGGACAAGGGGCAATGGCTTTAAACTGAAAGAGGGGAGATTTAGATTGGATCTAAAGAAGAAATTTTTCATTCAGAGGGTGGTGAGGCACTGGAACAGGTTGCCTGGAGAAGTTGTGGCTGCCCCATCCCTGGAAGTGTTCAAGGCCAGGCTGGATGGGGCTTTGGGCAACTTGGTGTAGTGGAAGGTGTCCCTGCCCATGGCAGGGGGGTTGGAAATAGATGATCTTTGAGGTCCCTTCCAACCCAAACCATTCTGTGATTCTATGATTTACATGTCGTTTTGTTGCAGTCGAGCCCAAAATTTGCATTGCAGGGATTTTTTTGGTTTTTTTTTTCCTTCTCTCTTAAAGATTAGTTATATCAGGTTAGAACTAGTGGATGAGTGGCATGCCTCTGAATTCCACTTTTTTGAATGGATGTCTGTTGTGCCAAGCTTAAAGATAACCAGGAAGAAAGTCTCTGCAGGTGGGTGTTAAGCAGTTATACAGTGACAACCATTAGCATGTTTTATGTGTAAGAGAAAGTGTATCTTTTAATTGTGGAAAGCAGGAAATGTTTATGAAAAGCAAAGCCTTCCTTTGAAAGATCACGTAAATTTTTACCCCTGCCTTCACCTGAGTGTGTCTTTGCCTTGTTACTTCTACTCTGTGGCTTTGGCAGTCCCGTGCAATTTTTTTTATATATTTTTTTGCCTTTTTTCATCTAATGTGTCTTGTCTGAAATGTACATGTGTCTCCTTTTCATCTGCTGCTGTTTTTCTGGTGAAGTTTCTCGAAGGCGCTTTTTACAGACGATTTAAAATTTGTTGTTTACTCCTTAATGCGATGTTGCAGAGGAAGATGATGCTGAGGAGATGCCAGAATTTCAGGTGTCTGGGAAAATTGGAGCAAAGAAGCAGAGGAAATTAGAAGAGAAACAAGCCAGAAAAGCTCAAAGAGAGGTAAGCGTTTCCTGCCATGTGCAGAGCCCAGAGCAGAGCCTGAATAGCTGTGCTCAGCAAAGAACTGGTGATGACAGACACCCTGGATAGGCAAAGGCAGCATCATCGCTACAACTGTTGTGTTTTTGTTTTAAAAATGTAAATTCAGCTTTTAACATCATATCCCAAGAGGGCCATGGAAAATGGTGTCTCGTTTTCATTCCATCAGGTTCTCTGGCATTCTCGTGAGGAGGAGAGAGAAGTTAACCTCCTGAATGCTTTATGCTGGATTTTTCCACTGGCTTCATGTCAGCACTGTCTCCCCTTAAAAAAAAAGCACTATCTCCCCTTAAAAAACTCAAGCCCATGTAGTGTTGTTGTAACACTGGGTCTGTGACCAAAACCATGGGCGATTCTGAGTAGTGTTTCATGTGCTCTCATAGTGGGAAAACCTTGTAGGGGTTTATCTATGTTTAGCCATGTTTATTGTTTATATAGACTGGGGGAGGTGAAAAGTAAAGCCTGTATTCCACTGAAATCTGTGATGCATACAGATTTCGGGTGAAGTTTGGCCCTTAAACAGAGACCAAACATGCAGAGTGAACACACTGTAGCTTTTCAGTTGTTCTTGCTTAAACCTGTGTGTAAAAGTACTTTAATACTGTTGCATTTTTTCAGTTGTACCCAGTATTGGGCTGTTAATTTAAAGGAAGCAACAGGCTTTTTGATGCTTGCTTTCTGAATTGTGTGCTCGTGGATGGCAGCAGGTTGTGCATTAATTCCTTTTAGTTGTTCTGCTTATTTTTTTTCAAACTCTGTATTGTTCTGTAACTTGGAACATGGGGTTGCAAGAAGTAGATAGAACTTAAATAGCCTTAAAAAGAGGCTGCAGTGCTCAGTGGACTTCACACATTTTACAAAAAGATGAGGTTTATAAAACTACTGACATTTCTAATGTGTAGAGGGTCCAAACAAAGCCAGTGAAATCTCATCTTGAGAATTTTAGTGTCACTAGAGGTTTAAATCCATTTTCTGCTTTACACTGTAGTGGTACACCCTGTCGATATGGGGCGGTTGGTAGTAAACTTGACTATTATGTTATATATAAACTTCCATTACAATCCTTTTCTCACTCTATGCTTTAACCATTTTGTCATTACTTTCCATATTCATTCTATTTAATTAGCCTCTTTTTTGTGGAAATTTTGAGCAAAGTTGAATGAAGTTAGATAAGCATCGGTTGGTGGAGTGAGGAATCTTTTGTTTCATTTTAAAACATGCTGATTTTTATTTTCCCATGTAGACAGATAAATTCCTCAGTTAGGTCTTTTTCTCTGAAACATTCAAAGCCACAAATCCTCCATTTGAATGTCTTCTACTTGTTCTTTTTAATATATATTCAAATTTAAGTATAGTGAAGAAACTGGAGAACAACTTTTAAAAAATCTCTAAAGAATGCACTAAATTCTCTTCTTATTTTTTCCCCATTTTGCAACAAGCTCTTTGCCAGGTCTGGTTTAAAAACAAATAATAAAATGATTTGAAGAAACCAGTACAGCTTTTTCTTTAAGAGATTCTGCCTAGATTAATGGTAGATTTGATTGTACTTGATTTTATGAGTTTCTGTTCCCCTCTCCTTAAAGTCCTTTTTAACTTAATTTTAAGTGAGGAAAAATGGAATGCCATGACACAATATTACTTAATATCACTATAGTAATAAGCTCATATGCGTTTACTAAGCTTAAACCCTTATTGAGACTCAGATAATGCAAATGAGAAGGGTAATTTCTAAACTTATCATAATGTTAAGCATTCTGAAGAAGGGGAGAGTTAAATGATAATGATTTTTTTACTTATTCTCTTTACTGTTTCTTTCTGAACATGCCTCTAGGAAGATAGTAAAAAAAACCCTGATGGTATCACAATATGAAATTAAAAAAATAAATGTATATTCAGGAAGAGTAAGGCTTGGCTTGCATAATATTTTTTTTTTTTTAGGCTGAAGAAGCAGAGCGAGAAGAACGGAAAAAACTTGAGTCAAAGAGAGAGGAGGAAAGGCGGAAAGAAGAGGAGAGAATACGTCTTGAGGAAGAACGACAGGTGGGATTAGTTGTATTTATAGATGGAAATTTTGAACCAAGTTTGTCTTTGAGATTGCTTCTATGCGAATTCTGTGATTAGCAGAGCTCCCTTGGCTTTCATTACCATTGCATACATCTTTTATTTGGGTTTGGGTTTTGATTTTGTGTTTTTTTTCTTCTTTTGGTTTGAGTTACAGTAATACTCAGTTATTTCAACTGTAGATCCCAGCTTTGTTCCCCTGAGTGCTTGGCAGAAGTGAAAACTGCTCCAAACATCAGTCCACCCACGTAGCAGCAAGCACCCACCCACGGTCGAGTCTAGGGCAAACTGAAACCCAGTCTCCTGGTGGTGGATCTGCTACTGCTGTATGCCATAGTGACAGATTGTTTAGTCAGTTTGTTATGTTGACAAACATAGCTGTGATAAGTTGGCTGTTAGTTCATCTGGGAGCTGTTTAAGTGCAGGTATGTGAAGGAAGGAGTTCTACCTAGTTACAGGAGAAATTTCGGGAGCTGCCAGCTTGGTGTCTGACAGAAGAAGTTTGATTATCAGAGTCATAGAATAATGTTGATTGGAAGGGACCTCCGGAGACTGACCAGTCCGTCCTCCTGCTCAAACTATGTCCAGTTAGAGCAGGTAGCTCAGGACCTTGACCAGCCAAGCTTTGAGTGGCTCTTACTGAAGGAGATTTCTCAGCCTCACCGGTCCCTGTTCCATTATGCTCATTAGTGCTGACAGCTGTAACCAGCAGGGCAGAAGGTGAAAGACATCAGCACCGATTTTGCAACTGTTGTGTAAAATTATACGATTTTATTCTAATTATACAAATCTACATGTGCTTCACAATTCAAGATTTCTAAACTGTGCATACGAAGGCATGTGTTAGCAGGAGCAACCCAGAAGAACATGTACTGTGCAACCGAAATGCTCGTGTCGAATACTTTCATCAGTGAGGGAGGCAAACATTTCAAAGCTGCTTTGTGTATTCTGGGTGTCAGTGCTGCTGGCTAAGAAGTAGGAATGGGCTTCCTGCTCTCTGGTGCATGAGCAAGTTGCGTGGTAGCTTTGCAGAGTGCTTCTGGAGGCAAGGACCAAGGTGTTCTACACGATCCTGTGCCCAGTAATACTTAAACATGCATAGAGGTTTGTCTGTGGTTTATAGCGAGCAGGTTTATTTTAATTTGTTCTAAGTGCAGGTTGTGTAAGTGGAGTATGCTGCTGATAACATTTTGAAAGAGGAAAAGACAATTTTTCCCTTTCTCTGTTGGAGGCATGAAGGCAGGATAAAGCAATTTTTTAAAAAAAATTTCCATACATTACACACGCAGATGGTATCCATGAGATCTTTTGTAGAACATACATTTACCTCTGTGGTTCTCCCCCCCCCACCTAAATCCTTTATTTTCTGAACTCTCTCTTGTTTCCTTGTCATCAGTAGAAGGTTCCTGAATTTCAGAAATAGAAATGGATCAGGAAAATGTCAGTAGCACAACATCAGGATATGTAGCATGGTCTGAGACTTGGACTTGTAAAGCAACTTGAGCAAACTTCCAGGGACCAATTATTCCACAGCTGCCCTTCTGAGAAAGATGCACAAATTGAGAAGTACCTGGTAGTGGTCAAAGCGCGAACCCTGAGGTCAGATAACTGATCTCAAGTAGTCCAAGCTACTCCTGTGCTTCGCCAAGGTGTTTTGTAACAGAAGAACTATCAGACCTGGCTTCCTCTAGATCCATGTCTACTGCTTTTCCCTTCCTCACAAACTTCAGTAGCACCAGCTTCTGCCTTGTGGTCCTTGTGACCACTCTGCTTTTCTCCTAAGCCTTTCCAGTTTCTCCCCATCATACTTCCAGCTCAGAAAGAGGCAAGATGAGCTCTGGCTGCCTCTAAAGCTCATGTCTATTGCCCCTCCTGCTTGCCATGGGGCTTGGCATAATAGATAACTCAGATGGCAAGTTACCCTCCAGTGATGTATCCTTTTAAGCGTTTTGTGCCCACCCAGTTCCCTAATATCTCACCTCCTCACTCCCAATGTTCTGGGAATTTAATATCCTTGAAACCCTGAAGAGTTGGTTGAAATAAACTAAATGACTCCAATACTCTGGGAGGAATTAGAAGGGTGCACGGGCTGGACACTGGCATTGTTTAAGTGTCACTTCCTTTAGAGGAGGCTAATGAATAGAATTTCAATTCCTTACAGGGTGGTAGCCAGCAAGGCAAGTGAGTTGCTAAGCAAATTGCAGTGGAACTTGGCCAACCTGCTCAAAAGAAGCTGTAGCCCAGGACAAAGATGTTATCCTGTTGATTGCCTGCAGGTCTGACCTGGGATTTAGCAGTGTAGCTGACGAATCAGGATCAGTCAGGCGTGGTTCAAAAGTTGAGTAGAAAATAAGAGTGAAATTCTAACTAGAGGTCTCTTCACACAGAAGGTGCTTATTAACATATTTAAGTTTTTTTTTTGATCGTCTTCTGTTCAATTTAGGGCTGTGTATTTTGATTGAATGAGGAAAATCTCTGGTTTTATTTTAACTTTCAGTATTCCCAGTAAAGATTGCACTAAAACACTCAATTTCACAAGGCTCAGTGAAAAAGAGGAATATAAACGAAGGTTTTGGTTTCTTTATTTTATTTTTTAAAATTTTGTGCTCAACAGTCCAAAAGAGTACTTCATTAGAATTTTGAAAATTGCTCAGATGCCTGAATCTAGCTTGCTGTTCACTTTGGGTAGTAACTTCTTTGGCTACTTAAACTCTGTAATTTTAACCTTTTTTTGTTTGGTTCATTTGTTTTTCCCGATTGTCTTTATCAGGACAGCAAGCCAACCCACCAGGCTACACCACAAACATTATTCTGCCACTCAGGGAAAAGTGTTTTCAGTATTTTATTTTTTGCTTGGGTCTAAGACAAGTAAATAATCCAGTAACCGCTGAACATTTTAAGCTTGGGTGAAAGTACACACGTCTGACAATATTTAATGCCCATCCTCAACTATTTTCTAGTAATTTTAAGTCTCTGTCTTATCTGAGCCTTTAGCAGGAAACGGAACAGTTCAAGACTTGTACGCGTTTAGGCTGTGCTGCTCGAGTTCCTGCTTCAGTCAGCAAAGCAAGCCGTGTTACCGGGAGCGTGGAAATAAGACAACTTCAGTGTTTTAGTCTTGACTGGGTGATAGGAGGGGAAACAAATTGAATGGATAGATACTTGATTACTGTGCATGTAAGCATAGCCTGGCTTCATGACCGTAACGTCTTATCTTTCAAATCTTGTTACAGCCTGATTGTATGATGTAAAAGATACTGCCTCTCTCTTCTGGCCCCTATAAGCAGTAAAGGGATCATTGGATTTATTGTGGTATTTGTAGAATAGGATAAAATAGGATAAAATGTCATTTATACATTCCTCCAGAGAAAGGATTCTTCCTTTCCACAAGTAACATTTTGTGACGAGTAAGCCCTTGTGAACTACACCTGTGACAACAATATTCCCCCATGTGAGTTAGGAGATGGAACAACAAAATTATGAAAGGTAGCTCAAGTAGTGATTGTAGTCATGAGAAAAAAACAGAGGGTAGCTGGTTGTACGATTTTTGGAGGCAGATTGATTACTGACATTTCTGTAGTTTAAATAATCCCAGAAAGCGCAAGAAATTTAGAGTTTATTACTCAAGTTTGTCTGAAAAATGTTACGGTTGTCAGAGCTTCATTTTTTCCCCTTCCTTTTCCAGTACATCAGAGTATTTCTGCAGGTATCGTGACAGTGGTGAGTCTGTTGGGTTTTATTTCTTTCTTCTGCAGTACAGGAAAGGTATTAAGACCACAGATGAGGGGTTACTGCCTTCAGGAAAAGTTAGCGACATAACTGCATGAATTGCATATTCTTTTCACTTGCTGCACATTCAAAGATTTGAACTCCTAAATTTGGTGGCTATGCTTTATTTAATACAATTTCAAATAAATTGAGTTAGTATATTTACAAGAGAACTTAAGTGATGAGCAGCTAGTCTCCAAACAAGCATAACCACCACTTTCTAGCTAAATTTCAGTTGAACCTTTATTTCAATCTCTCTGCCGAGGAACGCTACCAAAATTGTGCTAACTTCTGTGAACGTTGAGATTGGATTTGTGTAAAGGAGTTTCCTTTCAGTGTTTCAGCTACAGTCTTAAACTAATAGCTGAATCTTAGTCAGCAGCAATAGATTATTCCTGTGCCATTAAATAGCATCTAAAAAAAGTTTGTCGGATGATGAGGGAAGCCAAATACATTCAGGAGGATAGAAAATCATGTTGCAGTGTGCAGATCTTCTAGAAATTCCCCAGTGTTGGTCTTTTATAAAAGTCACTGGGACTATTAACTTTCACAAACATCCCCCATTCTAGTAGCTGGAGATATGGAGTCTAATGAAAATAATGAATTCTTGAGTCAGATGAAAACCCACTTTCGTTTATAGGCAAATGGATATCTCTTTCTAATTATTTTTGGGCAACTCTACACAGTGCTGTGCTACAAGCCGGAACTGTACCTTCAAGAGAGTATGGGTGCTAAAATCTTGCATGTTCTTCAGAAAAATACCCCTGTGATTCTATTTAAATATATTTGTATGCACATATAAATAAAATGTGGTTGCCCCTTGGCTCCAGTGTTGCAAACCAGATAATATATTTTTAAATTCAAGTTTCCTTTCCAGTGTTCTGATGACGTGATTGGTTCTGAATGTGAGGAAGCTCCTTTATAATTGGCGTTTGCTTCAGCTCTGCTTTACCCTGGGGATTTCCCTTTCACTCTTGGAGTTTTTTAGTGGTGAGATGGTTTACCAACTGCCACCTTATCAATGAGAGCGAACTTCCTCTGATGTTGCAAAACAGTGTCTTCATACAAAGCCTTGCAGATTGCTCGCACAAGAGGTTTGTTGAGTTTTTTTTTCCCTGCACACAGGGATTTTTGTAGATTTTACTCCCTCAGCCTAGCTTTGCCCTGCTAAGGAAACTGCTTGTGCAGATGCAGGGCTCACAGCTATCACT